GCAGGTATTGTCCCCGCAGCCTTGCGAACAGCGTGAAAGGGAGTCATGCATGATGTTAACCCTCTTACCGTAGGAGTCCTGCTCAGGGGGGAGCCCGGCGTCCGCAGGACCTGCAAAGCACAAACAAGTAGCAATGAGCGGAGGGGAAATTTCTACCGAGACACAGCCAGAAGATCGGTGACAGGCACCCTACTGCACCCCTCCCAGCCCAGCGCTGCGGGAGCACCTCCTTCAGTCATTTTGGGACACGAGTAAGGGTCCATCGTCCCACTCTCTGGGACCAGGTGTATGGCAGCACGTCTGCCGCTGGCAGGGAGTCAACGTGTCACAGATCCTGCAGCATTATGGGCTTGATGGGCAGAGGAGCTGAAGTTGGAGAAGCTGACCCTACTGTTCTGGGAGTCTGCAAGGCTTTCTGCCCCTAGCCCAGGACCAGAGTAGTTGTGAAAACCAGTGAAACCTTGTCTCCACTATGTGAAGAAATATCCCACGGGTTCAGGCTACAAGAAGCAAGTGAAAACGTGCTGCTGAGGTCCTGGGAGATCCTATCCCCAGGGGTCACCCCTTAGCTGCGCCTCCCCGCAATGGGGGTTGCAGCTCCAGAACAAGTCTCTGCTCCCAGGTCTTCATTTTCACATGCTGGACTCCAGCAGAAATCTTCAGCCCCAGGGAGATTTCGGCACTTTTGAATGCACGATGGGGGGCAGAGGGAATCGCTTTCCCGTATCCTTCCTGAAAAGCCCATCACCAAAATGGGAACAAAACCTAGCGTGGCCTCCTGAGACCACACGCCAGACAGCTGGCTTGCTGCAGGCATGCTCCGAAGGGGACGACAGCTCATTGATCCCCTCAGTCTAGATGGTTTCGCTGGGGTTTCTTTTTCTGTAACTGCTGCCAGGCCAAACTGTTCACGATAATTCACCTTCCCTGGGTGCCTCCCAGATGTTCCCACTAGAAGGGCTGGGTGTCGAGGGGGAGAGGGTTACTGCTGCGACACTCCCCAAAGAAGGAAAAGCTGCAGGCAGATAAGGAGACTTAACCTACAATGGCAACAGGCCCGTGCTCTTACTGCCGTCCCTGTTCACGGAGGGCTTGATGCTACAAAACATCATGGTGCCCTGCCAGTGTCAGCCCAGGACTCTCCCAACTTAAAGGGACTGGAGTTGAGATGGGAGGATATGAACCCAGCCCCTACCTCGGCTCTGCATGCGAGAGTACAGCTTCGGGTCCTGAGCGGACGGCTCAGACGAGGCCGGCTCGCTAGGAGCTTGCGGCGGCTTGCTCTTGCTGACGGGCATCGGCTGCGGCAGCACCTGCTTTGGCAAGCCCTTGAAGAACCAAGCCCCAGAGCGCTTCCACACCTGGGGAAGAAGGGGCAGATGGCAATGAGGCACAGACAGCACTTTCTTCTTTCTCTCCCTAAAACGAGGGTGCAAACAGTCATCCCTATGAAAAGGTTCATCAGCTCTCCGCCCGGGCTTGGGGCCCGGTTTCTGCTCCCACCGATGATGAGTGGAGCTTCTGCATAATCAGCCTTGGTGTGGAGGTAACTCTCCGACCTGTTCACGTCGTGGCTTCTTGCTCTGAACTCATTCTCCAACTATTCAGCACAGCCGGCACCTTTCCCCCAGGCCTTTCCAGCCCCCAAACCCAACCAAACCCACCCACAAGGACCTCACCCCACTGTGAGCTAGGAAACATCGCCTCCACCACGTGTTGCCCAAGAAATAACTCGCTCCTTTTACTCCAGATGTCACCAAACTCTCCCCATAAGTCCAGCCAGACTCCTTCTTAGCTCTCCCTTTAAACAAGCATCTTGCTACACAGCACATATAATCCCCCGCTCTTGACTACAGCCTGATATGAAAGAACAAATCTCTGAACAACCAATTCAATTGTGACCCATGATACCAAGGCAAAACGAGCATTTATGGGGCTGGCAGCTATGAACTGTTCTCCAGGACAGGAGGATATTTTTTTTCCACAGTTATAACAAGAAAAGAGGCTACGTTTCGGGGGGGGGGATCTAGTAATTGTTTCCCATTAAAAAAAAAAGGCTGGCCCTATTCATACAGGGAAGGTCCTGTCTGCTGGTAGCAATTTCCCTTCCGACTGGAGTTTGCCCACAGAATTAAGGCAGGATACGGGATAGAGAGATAGCGAGAAAACCTAGTGCACCCTCTGCATTAAATGGCTGGGGGGAAGAAGTTGGCCCTACCTCTAAGGGCCCAGCCACATATTCAAATTGAAGCTGGACAAAAACCAACTATAAAGTTGTTGCACATTTTCAAGCACTAACTTGGTGCCTGTTTGGCTCTTTTTATAGCTGGATGGATATTTTTATGGAGCGATAATTACTTTGCACCTGTGGCTGGCCAAAAATGATGGCACGATTAACCATTTAATTGCATGATAATTACTTTGCACATGTGGCCAGTCTTACTTTGCACGTGTGGCTGGGATAAATGTATTACACAATTAACCAGTGAATGGCGTAATATATGTAACGTGTGGCAAGGGCCCCTATCCACAGCCTGCTGGGATGCCTGGGGAAATCTACTCAGGATGAATGTTTTAAGAGCCCACCTCCAGCACGGCAGTACCCTGTCTTACCTTCTTGCAGGCTAATGGCAAAATATGCTTAGAGCAGTGACGCTGACTTCAAGCCCCTGCTGATTTGGGACTTGTGGAGCAGCCCAGCACCAGGGAATCCCAGCCACAGGGGATAACGCATGAAGCGCCGCAGCAGCAACCCAGGAGCTACGCCAGCCGGGGAAAAATCACTAACCTCCCTCTGCTCGCTGCAGATCTTGCACAGCCAAATCGAATGAGGGCGACTGTTGGTCGTCTCAATCCCACACTTGGTGCAGACGTTCTGGGAAGGAAACAGAGCACATGCCCACAGCATAGGAGGGGATGGTGACTCTCTGCAGCGAGCCAAGCACCACCGGGGATGTCTCGTTCAGAATAGCTACCTCTTGCTGTAGCTCTGCAAACCTCGCCCACACTCACCCCCAAAACTGCACCTAAATCGGATCTAAAAGGACCCTCCCAAGTGCCAACATAAATGATCCAGGGGAAGTCGGATTTAAGCCTGGACTGTTGCTGCCATTTTTATTTGACCGAAATAAGGCAAGACCATGACTGCAAAGCAGAAGGACAGCTTGCTGAGCATTTGTTCTGCTACGTCGAAATGCAACGAGTCGGACTGAAGAGAGACATCGCTTTCGATTTAACTAGGGGTTCAATAATTGCACCGAACCCATCATGTTCCAAGTGGCTTGCTGAGCTCTAGTGAATCCTCACAAAGCTTTGTGGAGGCAGGTGCATTTTATTAGCCTCCCAATGCAGATGGGAATCCTGAGGCCCTAAAGACAAGGCTGAGATTTTCAAAGCTGGCAGAAGGTGTCAGATGCACTTCCTCTGCCAAAACTAGCAGGAGGTTGTGTCTAAATCCCCTAACCGCCTTTAAGAGTCTCCACCTCAAGAGTTAGCGCAAGGCAATACCGGTCAATAGAGCCTAAGTGAGTTGGTCCCATAGGGTGACCAAAGGCTGTCCCATCGGTATAACCCAACATCCCCCAATTCTGCCTAGAACGTGTCTTACCTTCTTGCAGTCTTCGCACACCACGCAAGCGGACCCCAGGAGACCCAGCTGTTCCCCGCACAGGATGCAGCGACTCACCCCGTCCCCCGCCACGCTCCTGCGCATGTCTTCCAAGCGGTTCATCAGGCGCCTGCACATAGATCGACACAACGCGGGGTCACAAGAGCATTGTCACGGCATGCCAGCTCTTGGGACAGCGGCGTTAGCCAGCCCGGCTCCCTGGGACATCAAGCACAGATAGACACTGCTGCCCTCGAGTGAAGCTATTCTGTGTGTTTGGGGATGCCGTATCAGTCAGAAACACAACAAACCCCCTTTCCTCTGCTCAGGGGCCAGGCACACAGCCCCTTCTCCTTGATCGGGTCCTCCCCAGAGGCTGTACCTCCATCCAACAAGGAATCTGTTAGGAGGGCGAAGCAACAGACACGAGAGAAAGAAGAAACACCAGGAGACAGGGGAATGGATGGAGTAAACCCAGAACACGGATGCATTCACAGCTTCTGCAAGGATGAGCCTTGTGAGGGTGATGAAGGTTTCTTCTCTGTTTCACCAGCCCCGAAATACCAGGACAGCGGGGGTTTTACAGAAACGGCCTTGGACACAACATGCTTATATCTGCACACATCCTTATGCCCCAAGACCTTTGCCTGGCAAACGCTTGACTGAGCACTTGCATCCAACCTTACCCAAAAGGCGGCGGCACGGGGTGTGAATAACACCGACCAGTGCTCCTGCTGGCGTAGGACTCCCCCTGACACTCGGGGCTGCGGAAAAGGGAATCTAACAGAAAAGCACGACTAGTTTTAGCACAACGTGATGGGAAGCGTCAAATGTGGCGAGAACGGCAGCATAACCTGGTGAGGCTCCACTGGCCTCCATGGAGCGAGACCAAAGCTGGTCCACGGTTTATAGAAAACCATCCAACAGGATAATTGCTCCAAAAGATAATTACTTCTTTACTTTCTAATTAACACCTGAAGAAAATGCGTCACCTCTCACTATCTTTTCATCTGACTGTCTGGAGAAAAATACAGCTGTGGCATTGTGAACATCTGGAGAGCGCATGGGTGTTTGTGGCCCACTCACCCAATAACGCTGCTCAGAGCGATTAGCCCAGCTAATCAGCATCGATAAACCTGGATAAGCCCCTGCATACAGGGCTACCGCGTTCCCAGATGCACCCGACTTTTTCCATCATGTGGCAGATAAAAATCAAATCTAGTTGATTCAAATACCGTATGGGAGAATGAATTTCAACTTGGCATCGAAATGAAATATATTATTAACTATACATATATTAACTACCGTATTAGCTAAAGATTGAATTTAATATTTTAAAGCTGAAACTCAATGAATCTGAATGATACTATCAACACGAAATGAAACCTGTCGCCAACAACAGAGCAAAATGTTTCAATTTCTTCCCATCAAACAAAAAAAAAAAAAAAAAGAGATGCAAAAATTCACTAACATCAGCACATTTCCGCATAACGGATTCATTTCAGCGAAACTCCACTTTCTAATGGCAAGTTGTTCTGTCAAGAGCGTCTAAAAGCGTTGCAAGATGAAAACCTCGGTGTCCTTTGAGGATGAGATTTCATACATCAATCTCTTCTCTCGTTTCCTCAGCCAAAACACAGCTATTTAACTCTAGTGCAATGGTGATGCTTTTCAAGTGAGATGCAAAATAAAAAAGACCCACCGGAGAGCACAACTGTGCAAACACATCTGCCAACTGCGCGGGTTAAAAGCCACGACTAGTGACTGCCAAAACAACCACAGCCGTGAAAACAGCTTGCACGCTCGGTAAGGATGAAGCCAGCTGTCTGCAAAGGGAACGGGTGCTGCTCCAGGAACCGCTTCAAACCCGGTGCTTTCAAATAGCGGGAGCAAAAAAACATTATTTCTCCCATTCAAAAGGAGGAGGGGAAACAGTGAAAGAGACGTCCGTACTGGAGAGGACGTGAGACAACCAAGCCCACGAGGCCCGGCTGGAGTGTGACCTAAATCTGACAAGGCAGCTAAAAGAGCAGACATTTAAAAAAAAAGACATTTAAAAGATATTTTCCTTCACGTCTTATGACAGATTCAAATCCAAGCCAGTTGTATGGTCGGCAACTGAGGATCCTTTAGAAGCAGTATGCATCCCAGGCAGGCCTGTCCCGCTTCTCAGTGGCCGGGGCCACAACAGCAGGGACCACGGATATGTCTGATGCAGTGCACCGCATGTCCCCCCATTGCACCACTTGCAACTGGGAAGGGGAAGGGGAAGCTGGAGGGAGCAGCAGCCTGGAGCAGTAGGGGGAGAAGCAGCCAGGGGAGAGCCCAGGGGCTGCACTTTACCCCCTGCATGCTGCCCATGGGCCACTGGCAGGAGAGCCCTGCTATTAGGCAAACTCTGGGGAGAGCTTTGCATACTATGCTTCTGGATGTCATGCCTACACCATGGGTTGTTCACCTCATGAAGCCAAGAACCCCTCGCAGGCATTTTCTGTATGCTACAGAGAGAAATGCTAGGTCTCTCTTTTACACAGATGCTGAGAAAAGGAATAGCCCTTGACTGTGCAGCCAGAGATAGACAATATGCTGCGTGGACCACACCGTTTTATTACAGTTCCCGAGTGCCTGATTGGAAACCCGCTGAGGTCAGCGAGAACCTCTCCCTTCCCTTCAGTCAGGCACAAAATGCAGGGCTGGGACCGAGTCGAATACGGCCCGCATTCAGGTGCTAGACACAGCTGGGAGCAACATCCCAGCGGCGATGAAGTCAAAGGCAGAATCCCCGCTCAACCTCGGGGAGTCTGGATTGAGCACCCAGGTTTTTTCTACGCTTACAATTTTCTGGTTGGAGCTGGGGTCCTGACACTCCCTGCTCTGCCCTTCCCACGCAAACTGTTTTCTCTGCCATGCCTTTATTTCTAAAGAGGCTGTTACTAAACCACTTGCCTTTCAGGAGCAAAATCCAGAGGACAATCCTTAATGCTCTACAGACCTCCAGAGACATCAACGGTCTACCCTGCTTCTCGTTCTGGTTTGTGTAGCCACCTTCACGTGGTACTACGGGCAGGCTAATTAGCTCTGCCTCTTAGCACAGCTAATTAGCATAGCTACGTTCAGTTTTCCAATATTACTGTCGTACCAACTGAATGCAGCTGTGCTCCTTCTGGACCTAGCATGTGAGTATATTGTAGATGAGCCATGCAGGACTCCTTCCTAAGTAATAAGGAGGCTATTTGACCTTTGGATGCAGGTCAGACATCTCAGTATGCACAACTCACACCGGTACACTTAAAACTCAGAGGAAGAAGATGCTAAGGTTGTCATTAATTTCCACGGGCACCGGATCAAGCCCTAACTACTCAGCTCAGATCAAAGACTATTCTGCCTGTGTTTCTGGAAACGGCAAGTTGGCTCTGCCTAAAACCTACCTCAATTAAATGAAATTATCCACGGCAATTTCTATCCTATCAGGCAGCAGCATCCCTGTAAACTCACTTCGCGGGGCACTGGAGCGCATAATGAAATTGTGGCAAGTGAATGAAAACAACAGATAATCCAGGAATCTCAGTGTTTAACATGTGTGGTCCTAGCATTATTTTGCCGATTATGATAAGGACCATATATCTTTGTTTAAGCGGTTAAGTTTCATCATTCGACCGTGTGGTTTATTCATGGCTATTCTATTAAATCTAGTACTTCCCACCGGGAAAGCATGCTGCAGTTAACAACCATGCCATGCCTCCTGAAACACACACCTGCTGTTTTGTGGGGTTGAATGGAGAAGCCTTTGCTCGGAGCAAACTCTTTGGCCAAACCAGTATTTTCATAGCAAAGCCGAGCACAAGGACATATTTTTGCATCTGTTGATGCCAAGATAGCTAGGCTCAGAAATGGGCCCACTTCCATGGAGAAAATCTGCATGCCCAAGCAAACCTTATTGTGGCAGCTTCAAAGAAACTGCAAAAGAAAGCAAAAATCCTTTCATTCCAAGTAATGTCTTTTTTGGCTGCGAACCTTCATTTCTCACGGGTGACTTCTTAACAAAGAATATAGACTATTTTGTTAATAGTATAAAAACTATAATGCGCGTGGAGAGAGACAAATGAGATGACTTTAAGAAGAGAAGCATCCATCTTATTGCAATATTGATTGTATAATAAACTTGGCTCGTTCCTTATCCGTAGACTATAAGGTTGCAGCAGGGTTTGTAACTCCACGAGCTCTCCCTGCACCTGTGCGCGCATGGTTATTCCCCTGCCTTCCAAAGGAGGCAATTATACTCAGGCCCGGGGCCCAGCCCGAATCCTCAGCCAGGCTAGCAGCACTTACAGATCCCAAGTCCAAAACGGTGCGTGAATATGAACTAATCACAGCCAGATCCAGAACACAGGCGGATTTGATTAATGCAGCGGGGGCTCCGCACCTTATCTCAGTCCTCAATCCCTTTGGAGTAACTGGAGATGCTCGAAGAAAGACATCGCACTAGAAAACCAGATCCTGTTCTGCTTTATTGCCCCTTCACTGCGGAAAAATGATTTGCAGAGGCATGTGAGAGTCCCTAACACCTGCATTTCCAGGAAACACAGAAAATCCACTCTCGCATCTGCTCCACAATCACTCCTCACGGACCCCCCGTGAAGCCCTTTGATTAAACCATCTTGGTCCCTTTTGCTTTGCCTTCCTCCTGTTGCTCTTGCCTTAGCTGTCCCTGCCTCACAGGCTGCCCGCCTCCCCCCCACGCAACACCGCCTGCCCGAGGGACCTGTCACAACAAATCCTCCACGCCGGCACTTACCGGTCCTTGTGCTGCTTTTCCCTTATCTTCTGCCTCCGTTTACTTACACACCTCATTTTCATTGCTCCGCTTTGTAAGGCTGTTGTAAGGAAGATATGCTATAATTAAACTGCGATAGATTGCTTTTGATTGCTTTTGACACCTGGGGAAAAGGCTTTGTTGACTGGCAAGTCATGCCCCGCTCCATTATGTCTACCAACTTTAGGCCAGAGCTACGTAAGAGTGCAAACCGGCTTAACGAGCTCCACTAATTCCACTGGAGTGGTGGGATTTTGCGTGCAGATTCTCTTGCATTGGTTTAAGCCTGGGGTGACCTCTTTTTAGCTTGGGTTATC